CACTACAGTTGCGAAACTGTGTTTTTTCGACATTAACAGAATATCGACAAAGTTTTGCGCACATTTGTAATGGAAACACAGCTTCTGTTACATCCAGAAGAGAAACTTCACCAAAGTGAAACATAAATCTGTGGATCTGTGTTTGATTACTCTGCCTGGCTTTCTCAAGGACCAGGATGTGACACAAAAATCTGAATTATGGAACTGAAAGTGAAAGTAGTCAAACTGAATTTTTAATAAACCGAAATACAGTTTCAAAGCAAATTAATTCAGATACAAAACTTTAAATTTAGTTTCAATTTAGTGAAATTTGTTTTAAAACCAATGAATTCAATTTCAAATTCTGCACATTCAGATTCAATCTGAGCAATTCAAATTCAGTTCCTGCTGGCACAAGATTTATCCCATACCTATCCTCTGATCAGGTTTGAACTGAAACTAAATGAAGTATTTGTGTCTTTCAGAGGGACGTGGGTTCTGACCCGGAGGCCGTCCAGCAGGTGGTCCGGGCCACCAACAACCTTCTGGACAGTCTGGGCTCCCTGGCTGTGGAGGTAAGGTCCTTCCTGACGAACACACAGGGACAGCTTTCTGCAGATTTGAAGACGTGTCTCTGAGTGGACAGAGTCAGGGTCCTCGTCCCCCCCGGCCTCGTTCGGGGCCACAGGGTTTAACTTGGCAGCTCTGAGTCCCCGTCGCTCTTTGTCTTCAGATAAAAGCTGCAGCTAAACAAAGACCTGAACGTCTCAGAACAACAAACACTCAGCGTCCGTCCACGTCCCGCTGAGACGCTGCGGTCCTGCAGGGGCCAGCTTCGGACGGAGACTCAGAGAGACCATCAGGGGTTCTGTCTGGACTCATTACTGGGTTCATGCAAGACCTACTGAGGTACCTGTGCATGARGGACATTTGTCTCTGCTGCTCTCCTGACAGAGTCCTCTGAAATACTTTCGAATGAAATAAGTTTTAAAGCCCAGAGTTTGGTCTGACAGGCTCCTCTGAAATATTTTGAAATAGAATAAGTTTAGGAATGATGGACATTTGTCTCTGCTGGTCAGAGTGAAGCGGAGACTTTGTAGGCCTGAGTGGACCAGTGGATCTGGACTGGGATCAGGGTTCGAGTCTCGGTGTTTACACGCTGAGAACCGAAAGATAATCAGAGGAAAGTTGAGTCAGCTTGTTGTTTTTACCCCGAGGTTATCTCACACACACTGTAACTCTGGCAGGTTTAACCGGGGAACATGTGATTGCTTGTGTTCTCTGGGTTTTTGGGTTTCTGCTGAGTCAGCATCAGAAACCGTGACAACACTTCCTGTAATCTAGAGAAAAGTGCAGATTTCAGGACTTTTCTCCATCGTTTGGGTTTTCAGGATGTTTTTTTTTTTTTGCTCGTGTTTCTGACGTCATCCGAAAAAAAAAAAAAACTTCAGAACCCCGACTGTCACAGAAACAGCAGAACTACCTGACAGGTGTCCACCAATCAGGAGGCTGAACCTCAGGATGAGCTCTTATTATCTGAACATTAGACCTGAGACAGACCTGTAGCTGCAGGGCAGAAGATCCTGAACCTGATCCTGGTCCGGTCAGGTCTTGGCTCAGAGACGTGACTCAGAAGCAGCAGGATAAAACCCTGGTCTGCTCCTTTAAACCAGTGACCTCTGCCTCTGTTTCACTTCTGCTTCCTCACGTAGWTGACCTGCAGTAGCCTCCTCATCCTCATTTAGTCTCTGTTCCCTCTCACACAGAGACTCACCAGGCTTCAGTGAAAACACTTCTGAACTCGGACTCAGAAAACTTTAAGAAAGTACAACAAAATGTGAAATTATCACAAAGAAACACTGTCCAAGGTCTCACTGGACTCCTCCCACATGCAGCCAGGTGCTGCTGATACCCCTCACCTGCCTTCAGAGACCCACCTGCAAATAAAACCCCATAAGACTCGTCCAGCTAGGCCYTCCCCCGCCAGGTTCAGTGTTGCCAGACTTATGATAATTGTTGTATTTGTAGGATAATTTTGCCCTCTGTACGATGTACGATCAGTAATTAAAAAACCCCATATTATATGATAATTTGGCCGTTTCAATGCGTGACATATTGACCCGACACACGGCTCGCRGACATGAGAGGTGGTGGGTTGCCAAACACAGCGGTGCCAATTTAGCGACTTTGTCGCTGTGTTTACAGAGTTTTCAGACCCTCCAGACACTGTTTTTCAGAAAAGCAACAAGTGAAAATCTAGCGACTCTGTTTCTGGTGTTATTGTTGGTGTTAGTTATGCAGACTCTGACATGAACACAGCCGGTGCTGCTGAGAGCTCCTCCCTGGTCCCAGAGCACCGACAGGAGGCTTCTTCACGCTATGTCCCTCCCTGCTGCAGACAGATATCCATCCCATCCAGACTGGAAACGAATCAATTCAATTCGATTCAATTCGATTCGATTCAATTCAATTCAGTTTATTTATACAGCTCCAAGTCACAACATATGTTGTCTCAGCTGTAGATAAAAAGAACAATGTAAAGAAGAAAGCAGCAGATTGTGTTGAATCACTTCATCACAGTCTCCCATCCTGAGCAAACGGTGGAGAGGAAAAACTCCCTGCTAATCAGGAAGAAACCTCCAGCAGAACCAGGCTCAGGACAGGAGACCAAAATATTTTATGTTGAGGAGAGAAACCTGAGAG